TATTTATTTATTTGACAGAGAGAGACACAGCGAGAGAGGGAACACAAGCAGGGGGAGTGGGAGAGGGAGAAGCAGACTTCCCGCGGAGCAGGGAGCCCAACGCGGGGCTTGATCCCAGGACCCTGGGATCATAACCTGAGCCGAAAGCAGACGCCCAACGACTGAGCCACCCAGGCGTCCCCCTTTATTGGAATTTTAACTGAAGATTAAATAATTATATAGATTATTATATATATAATAGATTAAAAAATTCTATTAAATTCTGGCTATTCTCAGTCCCTGCAAAAGCCCAAGGATATATAGGAACAAGAGAATCAGAGGGAAATAGGGGAAAATGGATTCACACACCTTCCATCCAATAAAGCCCTAAACCATATACAATGTTCTAAGAATGTTGTAATAACTGGAAAAATCAAATAGAATTGACCATCTTTAATAGGTCAAATTCAAATGATCCGATGAATGAGTCTGTCATCTAGAACCCTTTTGACTAAAGACTGAAATTGAACAAATTAGCATAGTCAAATCAACTGAACACATCTCTTTTTGGCAACGTCTCTTGTTTGCTTTTCATGATGCAGGCACAGACTTTAACTCCACAATTAATACAGTGATTTATAGCAACATTTTGTTTGGTTAATGGGTAAGTTCCATTCCTGTAACTGTTCCTGTACTATAAAAGTAAAGATAGAAGATTCACTTGGACCTAATATCTTTAATCATTGGATATACTGGCAAGCTCTGAAAGACTTATCGGGAATTCTACATAGATTATAGAATAATGCATTTGTGTTTGCCAATCACATTAATTCACTTTATAGACTATTGGTGATTCCTCCAAACAAATGAGGTGATTATAAATAGTCAGCATTTTCTTCATTCTTGAGGATATTGGGCACTATGTGTTTGTACCAGGACTTAATGGGTGGATGGAGCCTAATTTTTAGTGAGGTAAAAATCATTAAATTCAACTTCCTCAGCACTTTTTAATTTTATTTTTGGAAGACATTAGAAATAAAGACAAACTATTGTCAATTCTTACCATGTTTTGTCAAACAATTAAGATGATGTGAGTTACAAGTGGATGTTCTGCTAATGGGCTCTTATATCAGTAGTCTTAGAACTGGCTTCCTTGCCTCGGGTTCTTCTATGTTAATTACTTAATTCTATAGATATTGATTGAGAAGTACCAAGTGCTAAGTACTATACTAGATGCTGGGAATACAAAGGTAACATGTGGTCCTTGATTTCAAGGAGTTTATAGTCTGGTGGGAGAGACAGCCAATTAAAGTCAAGAATTATGATACATTATTGCGGTAGATGTATATGCACATAATACAATGGGAACACACTGAAGAACATCAAAATGAAACTTAAGGAATCAAGAAATCTTCCCAAAGGAGCTGCGTTTCAAAGAATATATAGAGTTGACCAGACAAAGACTATGCAAAGCAGTCCTTCACAGTGTACTAGTTAGCTTCTTAAAACCCAAGTCCAATTATGCTTCTCTCCTTCTGTATTAGGGTGCTAGGGCTGCAGTTACAAAATATCACAGCCTGGGTGGCATAAACAACAGAATTTTATCTTCTCCCAGTTCTGAAGGCTGAGAGTATGAGATCAAGATGCCATCATAGTTGGTTTCTGATGAAACCTCTCTTCCTGGCCTGTGGATGGCCAACTCCTCACTGGGTCCTCACATGGCACAGGGAGAGAACTCTGGTGTCTCTTCCTCTTCTTATAAGGACACAAGTCCTATCTTGAGAGCCCCATTTATGACCTCATTTATGACCTCATTCAACCCTAATTACCCCCCCTTAAGGACCCACCTCAGAATACAGTTACACATGGAGTTAGGGCTTCAACATAGGAATGGCGGGGGGCACAATTCAGTCTATCCACCTACTTTCATTTCTTCCTTGGCTCTCCATTTCTACAGGATCAAGACCAAATCCTTCAGCATGGTATTTAAGTTCCTTTCCAATCTGACCATAACCTGACTGAAATCTCCTGCCACCCTTCTCTTTCCCCTATACCCTTCCCCCATCCCCAGTGTAGCCCACTCTGTACCATTGGTTCTCCACCACTAGGCCAGGGTACACTCTGGATCCTCCCCATACGTGCTATCAAAGTGGTGAGTGGGTAAAATAGTTTTTGCTGAACCTCAATATGCACATTATTCTGTAATATCTGCCAAATTATACATTAAGTCAAGTGGGTCCTGCAATGCAGTAAAGAAGAAGATTCTGTTTGTTGAGAGTAGAAGAAGCCCAAAAAAACAGCAAGCCAGCAGGAAAGAAATAGAATGTCACCTGAACAGACATTTTTCCAAAGAGGACATCCAAATGGCCAACAGACACATGAAAAAGTGCTCAATATCACTCGGCATCAGGGAAATCCAAATCAAAACCTCAATGAGATACCACC